GGGGGGGCGGGGCGGTTCTTGTTGCTGCCCGCTCTTTGTTGACTGAGTTGCTCGCTTCCAGGAGCGTGTAGGGTTTGCAGCAATTGACTCATCGCCTGGGCAGGAAGAGGGAAGCCGCCATGAACGACATTATGAAGCTGCAGCGCACAAGCGACCGCCAGCCCCACCGGGGGACGACCGGCGCCTCTCCCCTGGTCTCGGTCCCCCCGGGGGACGACCGGCGCCTCTCCCCTGGTCTCGGCCCCCCCGGGGGGGAAGAGGTTGTGGGAAGCTCTTTCCTACCATTCGGACTGTACCTGAGGGAGGGAGGTAGAGACGATACCTGCGGTGAGAGTCCCAAGCGAAGGTGGCACTAACCTGAACAAAAATCCGACCCCGCGCACCGCTCACCAACGACTCCCTTGTTTTCAAATAGCGCGCCGCTGTTCCCGTCCAACGGCCGACCACGTCCCAGTGACCTCACTCCGCATGCGCGTGAGGGGGCGTGGGAAAGAACCCTCCTTTGGTCTGGTGTGGCAGGGGGGACGGGGGAGGGGGCAGCCCTTGCGGCTGCGCAGTCCCGACACTCTCCCTCCGCCCCTCCCCGAACAGGACACAGCTCACAGCTGTGCGCATGCCCGCCCACGGCGGGTGGTCGCGCCGGCGGCTAGCGCATGCGCAATTCCAACATCAGACGCCTCTGTCTGTGATAGTCTCAGTGTTTGGAGGAAGACAGGTTCCCATTGTTTTATTTTCATAGTTGTTCCTTCAGGGAGATAAATGGCAAGATTTCTCTCAGGGAAATGTTATTTTACCACTTGCCCATTGTTTGCTTGATAAGTGAGGTAAATAGTTACCAGGTATGGACTGTGTTATGAAGTCAGATAGAGTAGGTTGGCTCTGTACCCATTGGAGTTTAGAAGAATAATATGCGACCTTATTGAAGCATATAACATTCTTAAGGGACCTGACAGAGTAGATGCAGTAAGGTTGCTTTCCCTTGTGGGAGGGCATCATCTCATAATGAGGGGACTGCTCATTTAAGACAGGGTTGAGAAGGAATATTCTTCTCTCAAATGTAGTGGAACTCTTAATCCAGGGGACTTTTGAGGCTGAGTAATTAAGTATATCCCAGGCTGAGATAGTTTTTCTTTTATTAATCATTAAGACCATCAGGGGTTATGTGGAGAAATCAGGAAAGTGGAGTTGAAGATTATCAATCAGCCAAGAATGGTGGGCAGACTGGATAGCTGACTTCTACTCCTATGTCTTATGTTTTTACAGCTTTAAAGAGGAAAGGAAACAGCTGTCAGTTTGGAAGCTGTGCCTCAATTTGAGAGGTAATTTTAAGCATATTTTCCTGAAGTGTTCATAGAATCCCTATAGTTTGGAAACAGGCCATTCAACCCAACAAGAGCACACTGACCTTCCAAAGAGTATGCCGCCCAGACTCACCCCTAGCCCTCTAACTCTGCATTTCCCATGGCTAATCCACCTAACCTGTACATTCCAGGACACTATGGGCAATTTAGTATGGCCAATCCATCTAACCTGCACATCTTTGGACTGTGGGAGGAAATCCAGGCAGAACATGCAAACTCCAAACAAACAGTCACCCAAGAGTGGGATCAAACCCAGGTCCTTGGCGCTGTGAGGCAGTAGTGCTAACCATTGTGCCACTGTTCCAAGGCTATATGTTATAGTAGCTGTGACTGAATTTATTTCAGTGCAATGTAAATATTTCAATAAAAAGTGTTATGAAGGGGTTGGAAAAATAGCAGAACTAATAGAACCTATCAGAAATCTGATCCAAAGATAGTAAGAACTGCTGATGCTGGTTGGGACCCTTCTTCATTTTCTGAAGAAGGGTCCCAACCCAAAACTTCAGCTTTCCTGCTCCTCTGATGCTGCCTGGCCAGCTGTGTTCCTCCAGCTCCACACTGTGTTATCTCTGAATCTGATCCAACCCATTTGTGGTCCAAATCCAGACAGCTAGAACTAGTACAGTTTGTAATATAGGAAATAGGAGAATTTGTTTTATTACTTAATGGTTTTTGGGTGTTGCTTGTAAGACTAGAATTTATTGTTCATCCCTAATTGCTGTTGAACTGAGTGGCTTAATTCTTAGGCCATCCAGACTGCAGTTGAGTCAGCAACATTGCTGTGGGTCTGTCGTCTTATATCACTCAGACGAAGCAGGTTTGACTGATTTTTCTCTTCTATGGGACCTCGGAGAACAAGATGGGTTTTTATGATAGTGATAGTAATGGAGAACACAAAACTGAAACTAGATTTCTTTAATATTCCAAATTTATTAATTAATATTCCAAATTTATTAATTTATATTCCACCAGCTGTTGTAACTCCGGAGTATTAGCCTGGGCCTCTGGATTGCTATACTAATCTTGTTATATCACCACTTCTTCACTGCCTCCACTAAATGCCTGCAGTAACTGAGAGGATGTAGGAAGGGAGAGTGCTAACAGAAATAATGGATAGTAGATTCCCAGCATGAATGGGAATATGGAAAAAGAGTAGTGCCAGGTGACTTTGTGAACTTAAGTATCGGGTGTTGGTTTAGTAAATATCCAAATGTTACAAAAGACCAGTTTTTTTTTCACTAATATACTCTAGACACAAATACTAATTTGCCAAAAATCCTCTTCACAAGCCCCAAGTAAAGATCAATAGGTGCCCTGAAACATGCACACTCAGACCCTGGAAACTTGATTACTCTTAAGTTGTGAAAGAGCTTCTCAGCTCACTCCAAACTACAGGACAACACTGACAGTCTGAAAGATCTCTGTACCAGCAGCTTCAAAGCTTTTTAAAGGAAGAACATTACTGGACAAATTGATTCATCAGGAATAAATCACATCCTTGAAACAGCTGACTGACGACTTCCATGTCACAAAATACCACATTATTTCCATCGTTTTATCCAGGATCCCATAATGATCTTTTAAAACCAAGCTGGCTGGATTACAGCTGGCAGCCTACAATACAAAGACATCTCTCAGGCACCCCTCAGCCTTCTGCTTAATAATCTCCAGAAATGTAACCGATGCCAAGAAAAATTGATGTACATACTGGGATCAGAACCTGTTACTGTCAGAATAAGGATAGAAAGAAAGACTCAGACCAGCCCTCACAACCTGTACAAGCCACAGGTCAGTGAATTGTCAACCCTCAGCATTTGGGACCAGGATTCAACATTTGGAAGTAAGTTGCATGACAGTATGTTCTGACAAAAATTAACGCAGAGTACCTTCACCTCCCCTCGGATGCATTCCTCAACCACACCACAGCTAAAGTGATTCTGATCACTGTTTACTACAGGCAGCAGTTGTACGGCAGACGGGAGTTCCTATTTGCAGTGCACAGTGCTTACAATCACTTCATTAACAAAAGAAATTAGGAGAGGTGCTGCAGTGAGACTAGCAGAAGGAAGCGGGGATGGGTTGAAGGGAAAGGATAATCAATAGTAATGAAGGAAGGATTGTGAAAGCATAATGAACGACAACAACTTATTTGTACAAAAGCATTAACTTTATTAGATGACCTAAGCGCCTCACAGAAGCATTACAAAACAAAAAGTAATGACACTGAGCAACATAAGGCGATGTTAGGTCAGACTTCCTCGAAGTAGAGGGGCCAAGTGGTGGCAGAGGGTCTTCCATCCTTTAGGGCTGGACAACAGACAAAGCAGCTTCTAATAGTGGAGCAACGAAAATTGGAGGTTGTCAAGAGGTCAGAATCAGAACAGTTTAGATGTCTTAGATGATTGTGGGGCTGATGGAGATTTCAAAGACAGGGAGAATAGTGGAAATACGTTTAGAGGAGAGGATGTGGAAGTTGGGAGTGGTGCTCAACTGAGCTGCAGACATGGCTGGGAACTGACATACAGGTGGAGAAAATAACAGAGTTCAAGCGTGAACAAAGAGAAATCAAAAGGAATGTTCAGCATTCTTTACGAAAGGAGAGACATGTTGCAGTTTGAATTGGGAAGGATCTGGTCAGCAGAGAAGTGCCACACAAACAGTGCTGAGTTTGAAGGTCATAGTTTAATATAAGGAACTTGGGTGGGGAACATAGAGTCATAGAGTTTCACAGCACAGAAACAGACCTGTCAGTCCAACTCATCCATGCTGATCAGATATCCTAAATTAATGTAGTCCCATTTGGCAGCACTTGGCCCATATCCCTGTAAACCCTTCTTCATATACCCATCCAAATGCCTTTTAAATGTTGTAATTATACCCACCTCCACCACTTCCTCTGGC